GAGGAAGCATGTTTCCATAGCAACATGAGACTCAAGAGTGATATTCCCATGATTCCTATAAATTTTGGAAGAAGGAAGGTGGAAGTTTGCTTTAACCACAGCTACGGGTGCTAGAGACCATTCTACCCTTGATATGCCATTTTGATCGTCTCATGAAGCAAACTGAAGTTTATTCAAATATTTATCTTGCCAACATGTGTGTATTTAGTCCGTACTTTGAGTCCAGTCTGCTGGTACAGAACAGAAAGACAGCCCCCTCCCCTGAACACGTGACGCAGACTGTCATGAGAAAGACCCAGCATCAAACCAAAATGTGAGAACGTCACTCACCTGCCTTAGAGGGACACGTGGAAGCCACAGGAGGATAGAGGCAGGAACCTATCACACACCTAAGAAGAGCAAGCAAAGAGCCCAGAGAGGTTTTCGAAGAGGCCATGAATGTTCAAAAAGGAAAAGGAGCTGGGCATGTGCAGAAGGACCACTGGCATTTCTAACAGAGAGCAGCATCTGAAAGGCTCAGAGCAGGAGAAACTGCATCCCCATGAGACACAAGCTGTAAGGTCCTGCTGTGTGATGGAGCTGGAGAGTAGCAGGGTTCAAGGGTGGAGAGGTCATCAAGGACATCTGCAGAGGGCCCAGAAAATTATGCTAAGGGTTTGGACCCTGTTCTTGATAGATACAGAGACTCACCAACAAGTTTTTAGGCAGCCCAGACTTTACCCAGACTTTTCATTTTAATTAACTCTGCATGAAAAATTACTCAATTGTAATTTGATGTGGGGGGTTGTTGTATAAAAGTATTTGTGCCATTTCACCTACCTTTGGGGTCCTCAGACTTAGATGCAATTATCCTATGGGAGAATCGCTCTTTATCTCATAAGTGAACAACGAAGCGGTGTCTCCCCAAGTCAGCACTAGGTCATTGCCATCTTCAGGATGGTGGGAATCGAAGGATTTGAAATTGACACTGCCAGAAATTCCTCAGGGCCAGCTGCTCAACCCACCCCGAGCACAGACATGGGATTTGGAAATTCTGATTTCCCAGGCCCACTGACATTGTTCAGAGGGTAGATTCCAACGCACAGCTGTAAGAAAAAGACAACAGCCTTTTCATCAAGAAATGCCAAGAAAGTCAGGGCGGAACTGTTCAATGGAAACACTTGGCTTCTGGGGGCAGGAAGCCCACGGGGTGTCATGAGCTGTGGAAATGTGGACTCAGCACTCATGGGAAGCCTCTTGGTGGCCACCTAAACTCCATCCGCTCTGCTTTCCTTCATGGTGTCCCCTCCGTCCATCACTCCCGTTCCTGTCTCCTTCATTTCTCCACTAATCTTACTCACAGAGCTGCACCTTTGACTTCTCTGACTGGCATTTGTTTAGTAGAGGGTTCTGGGCAGATGCCAGCAGCACCCGCTACTCATGTGGCCACACACTTCTCTCAAGTGACTGATGTCACTTGCCAACTGCCATCTGAGCCAGATGTGGCCCCTCAGGTCATGCTTTGTGTACCTATATGCTGGGTCAAAGTAAATTCTGAAAATGAAGAAAGCTGAAGGATTATAAGTTGTGCCAATAGGAAACAAGGAAGAATGTTCCCCGGAATTTGGAAAAGTCTGAGTTAAACCAGTGCTCCTTCTCAGTTACCCTACCCTCAAAAATGGAGAAATAGCCAAAAATTTTGGCAGAAGATCATCATCACCATGACTACTGCTATTTACTGACGGACATGGAATTACGTGAAAAGGATGTGGGGGTCGAGTTCTGAAGGCATCAGTGACCTACACAAGCGCTGTTTCAAAGCCATGAGGGGATTCTCATCAGGAAGAGACATTTTCTGCTGTCTGTCTGCTCTTCCCTTTCCATCCGTCTTTACTCTAACAGCTTAACATGTGATCTGTGATCACCTCCTCCCTCCCCCAGGTAGGGACCTCTCCCCACAGCCTTTGTAATCTGGAATCTGAAATTTTTATGATGGGACATAAAATAATGTTTTATGTCATATTAGAGATTAGGCTTAAAATACAGATTCCTGGAGAGGAAAGATGGTGTCTTCGTTCACCCGAAAATATAAATTGCCAATGTCAGATAAGTTTCTGGCAATGATGTTGAAAAGCAGGAGAACAAAAAAGAGGAGAGCCAGCCAAGAAGGGGAGTTTAAGAGCCACAAGATCGAGTTTATTTTTGCTTAGATTTGTTTTTGTCCTGCATCTCTCTATGCATGAGGACTGCTGGTATATTTGAGGGCAGCATGCTCCTGAGGTTAGTCATGGTTAAATCCCAAGGTCAAGGATAAAATCCTATCTGCAGGTATCATTCCTGGTCTCACAAGGGCCTGTGTGCTTAAGGGTAGCAGATTCTCCTTTCTTTCCCCAAATATAGACACATCAGCTTCAGTTTGGGGTCCTTTCCTTCTCATGGAGACAGTGTCTAGGCAATTGTGAACTGTTATAAAGCCTTGGGCATGAGCACCAGGATATGAATTGGGTTAAACGAGGTATCCATGGACTGTAGTTCAAGATCAGGTATCACACATGTTTTCTGTACACAGCCAGATGGTAAATATTTCAGATTTTTCAAGCCAGACAATTTGTCGTAACTGCTCCACCGTGCCCTTGTCGCCCCAAAACAGCCATCGTGCATGTTTAAGTGAACAAGCGTGACTTTGTTCCAGTGGAAATTAGTTTACAACACCAAAATTTGAATTTCATTTGATTTTCATGCATCAGGAAATATCATTCCTGTTTGGAATTTTTGTCAACCATTCAAAAATGTAAAAACTGATGTCACTTGCCAACTCCCACAGGGGCCCGGAAGGCCAGATGTGGCCCCTCAGGTCATGGTTTGTGTACCTATCTGCTGGGTCAAAGTAAATTAGTAAATTCTAAACAAAGAAGAAAGCTGAAGGATTATAAGCCTTGCCAATATGAAACAATTAAGAATGTTTTCCAGAATTTGGAAAAGTCTGAATTAAACAGATTCTAGAAAAGACATGTTTTTCCCTCTGAAAGGATGACCTTGTTCAAATTACATGAAATGTTTTCAAATTAAATGAATGCTATTGTGAACATATAGGGCTCATTTGAAATTAGCCATGTGAGGTATAAGTACATAAACTATTTGTTCTTTTGAGTGAGTAAATCCAGCTCCTATTCTCTTGTTTACAGTATCCCTTTCCAGAAAAATCTGTTCTTCCTAGGTCTGGTAGAGTCTCTTTAAGCTCAGCCTCAGGCCCATGACCCCTCTTAAGGCACACTCAGACAAGTGGGCTTTTGCTGCAGTTCTGTGTCAGATGAATAAAGAGGCTGCAGTCCGTTTTAATTGAGCTCAGTAAGTTTCATTTCTCCTAAGGCCTCAGTCTTTCTTTCTGTCCCATAAGGGACTGCTTTTCAAACGTGTGTCACCTTTCTCAGGTCAGTCTTAGTAGTAGAGTGTTCCTTTACCTCTTGTCCTTGCTGAGTAAACTGGTTTGAACCCTAGAAACTGGCAAGATTCCAATATGGACTTCAACAGAACTTCCAGGGGAGATGGAGGCAACAAAAAAGGAGGGGGCAGGGTCTAAGAGCAGCCAGTTATCTCAAGGTACTGAAGGCTGGACCAAGACCCAAGGACAGCCAAGGGCCACCTTCCTATAATGAGATATATTCTCCAAAGTAATAATGACTCACATAGATGAAAAGTTTCCTAAGTGTTCAGGACACAGGTCGATAGGAAAATACATTTCCCAAACACAAACCCAAATATGCATGCAGGTAAAACAAGCACTGTATGATTTTTCTCTTGGGGTTTTACTGGGGACAGCATGGCTGAGGGATGTCCTGAGCAAAATCCTGCACCCGGACTCCGAGGACTTTGCATCTTTGGCGGCGGGCCTCAGAAGAAAAGCATTTTGAGGAACAATTTAACTGACCCCATCTCTGTTCATTATTCAGAACAAGCCCCTGCACTGGAAAATCTCACGGTGACTGAGGTCGGCTGGGATGGCCTCAAACTCAACTGGACAGCCGCTGACCAGGCCTATGAGCACTTTGTCATTCAGGTGCAGGAAGCCAACAAGGTGGAGGCCGCTCAGAACCTCACGGTGCCAGGCAGCCTCCGGGCTATGGACATTCCTGGCCTCAAGGCCAACACCCCTTACAGAGTGTCCATCTATGGGGTGATCCGGGGCTATAGAACACCCGTGCTCTCTGCCGAGGCCTTCACAGGTACTTCCTACCTTTACACCTACAGCTTCTCTTTCTCCCAACAGGAAACTGCCCGTGGATAATCAGGCAGATAATCTAGCTTTGGAACGGACTCGTTTTGCTAAAGGGTAGAGTGCCATAGAGTCCAATAATGGACAGCAAGGCTCTCAGCACAACTCCAAGGCCACCTTAACCTTCACTCCGCATAACAACCCCTTTTGAAACTGTACAGAGCCTATTCTGTGGGACTCACCCTGTGGCCTCAGGAAGGGGGACTGACTGCAAGGGAGTTAAAACACTGTGTGTAAAAGGAAAAGAAGTCATAAATAAGTTAATCCCCCCCACATCTGATGTTTAGGGCCATTCTTCAATAATTAGAAAACAAATAGTCCCCAACCTCTCCCTCTGCTCTTCTCTTAAAATTTAGAAAGCTGCATGATGCATGTTTATCAAAGTTTTTAAAAGCCTATTCCTGTTGTTCAAGATTCCCTGCATCTTGGTGTGTGATTGAAACCAGCTCTTTGTCCTTCTCCAGGAGAATCTCCCAAATTGGGAGAGGTCACGGTGGCCGAGGTGGGCTGGGATGCCCTCAAACTCAACTGGACTGCTCCAGAGGGGGCCTATGAGCACTTTGTCATTCAGGTGCAGGAGGCTGACACGGGAGAGGCAGCCCAGAACCTCACAGTCCCAGGAGGGCTGAGGTCTGTGGACCTGCCTGGCCTCAAGTCAGCCACACGCTATAGCATCATCATCCGCGGGGTCATTGGGGACTTCAGCACAGCCCCTCTCTCTGTTGAAGTCTTGACAGGTATTCTACACTAATTCACTCATTTGCTCCATCCCCCTGTATCTGCTCAGGAGGAATCAAGGCTCTCAATTGGGTTTAGCCCCTACCATGTTGGGGGAAATACCGGTGAATCATCTCTACTTCCCAAATATCACATCCCTTATTTGGCCGCGTCCTCGTTGTAGTCTGGTAGCCAGTCCCATGGAAAATTCCACCTATTCTTCATTTACAAAAGTGAGAGGTTGCTCTTTCCAAAGCAAATTTCAGTCATAATATCTAAGGAGTTGGAAAGCACTACTTGTAAGTGAAAAAAAAGAAAAGAAAATAGCTCTGAGCTCATGCCAAGCACACACTCGAAGACACTCCAAAACCCTGTTTGTATGTCCAGAATGGAAGTGGTGAACAATTCGTAAAACCACCTTTCATTCCCAAGGGTTGCACAGAAAAAGCCCGGCTTTAGTGCCAACAATGAGAGCCCGCTCAACACCGCTGTAAATCAAGCATCTGCAATCGACACTAACCAGACAGCTCATCCCAACCTCAGCCAAAATGCCATCTCACCTGGATCCTAGCATGCAATTGCCTTTTTTAGTAACCCAGCAACTTTATGTCCTTATGCAGAGGAGGTTCCAGATCTGGGAAACCTCACAGTGACCGAGATTAGCTGGGATACCCTCAGACTGGACTGGACCACACCCGATGACATCTATGACCAGTTTATCATTCAGGTCCAGGAGGCTGGTCAGGTGGAAGAAGCTCTTAAACTCATGGTTCCTGGCAGCCTGCATTCAGTGAAGATCCCAGGCCTCAGGGCTGGCACCCCTTACACAGTCACCCTGCATGGGGAGCTCAAGGGCCGCACTACTCGACCCCTTGCTGCAGAGGTCACCACAGGTATATGACCCCTTCCAGACCTGTTGCTGGGATAGAAAATTCCGTACCATGTAGCAGGGTATCCTCCTTAAAAGTGGTTGGCAGGCAGCATGAATCTGTAACTTAGGAAGGTTTGAGCTGGAATTCCACCTTCCTGGCTGAATATTCTTGGGTATATCACTTTGCATCTCTGAACCTTTTCTCGTCTTCAAAGTAGAGATCACACCCCTACTTTGGAACACTGTCATGAGCATTAGTGAGTTCATGAATGAATGTGCTTATCAAAGTGCCCATCGTGCAGTCAGTATTGAGTAGCAAATGGCTAAATGTGTCATAAGCAACAGTTTTATTGAAAAAAATAGCACAACAGCAGGACCATGGCACAAGGATAAGGGAAGAACTTTCTAAAAAAAACCTTATAAATATTGGCTTTAGAGTCACTAACGTCTTGCTCCTAGTCAGATGGCTACAGAATCACTCTAGGGAATGATCTGGTCATCTTCAGTTGAAAGTATCCACATCTGTCTCCTTATCAGATATTCAGGATAAGAATATTTCCAAGAAAGGATAGTACTTTTTGAGTTCTTTGTTTGTTATTCAACTTGGAGAGAGAAAACAGTTCATCTCAATTTGTCCCCTGAAAATAGGATGTTCCATCTATCATAGAAAACTGTGAACTCTTCTTGAGGTTTCTAGAAATAGCTTCAAAAAGTGCTTTGGGCAAATGGGCCAAATCTGTGATAATCAGGTTTTTCTCTAAGCCCATGTCCCTTGTATTTTACTTATGCCACTCAAATTAGCTAGTTCAAATAAGTTGTTTTTCTTGCTCTTATATGCCAAATAAACTTGGTCATTGATAGAAACCACACAGGATCTCAAAAATAAAAAAGGTGATGTTATCATTTACCTCATTTGGCCAAGTGATTATCCTGTGTCTCCTCAAATACCTTTAAAGAAAACAATAGCACAAAAGGTCTTTGAGAAATGTGTGATGGGGTGCAGAATGATCTACCTTCACAGTCTACAAACTTGTTTTCAGCAATAAAACTTCTGTAGCAAATGAAATCTCCCCAGGAAGCCCTCTATATGACAGACAAAGAGCAGTTCTTAGCTGGGAAGGAAGAGGGAGATGCCTGCATCTGTGTTCCAAAGAAGTCCTTCCAGCAAAGTGCCAGGTCTGTGTGGGGGACAGTTTGAAAACAGACCCTCTAACAGGAAGAGTTTGCTCAGACTCTCCTGGCACACTCTTCTGATCCAGGGATACCTGAGAACGAAGCTCCCCCACCTTTGCAGGAGTGCGGGTGGGGGTTGAGATCCCTGCAGATATTTTGCTCCAGAACTTCTGATCCATAGCCACTTTAGTTTTAAGGAGAGAGGCTGAGAAGTTGCATTTAACCCTGAGAATTATCTCATAAAGCAGTAGATTTTTTTTCTATACCCGAATGCAATCTTTTAAAATCAGCAATAATAACGCCATTCAATTTCCTTCCTACATCATATGAAATTAATAGTGGGCCCTGTTCTGCACCATTTACTGAGAAAAAATAGTCATTTTTAATTGAAAGTAGGCACACACATTTCACAGGAGCACTCCCGTAGTGTGACACAACCATTCTTCACTGAGCAGCAAAAGCAGGTGGGAGGAGAGAACTAAGCAAGAATCCAGTATGTAACCTCTGATCCCTGAAAACGGAGGGAAGTCTAGAGACAAAACATTGTGTTTATCCAAACTTGAGACGGCACATGCTTTAAAAGCCAGGGAGAGAGTTGGTGGCCAATACTGAGGTGATCCTGATTCCAGGCCATGAGAGGAAGCAAGTGAGTCCCCCAAATGACTGAGAGTTTCCAGGAGGAATTCTTTAATTATTGCCTGTTTTCTTTAGCTGTCACTTTTAGGTCATTCACTCTGTGTCAGGTAGGATGTGAAGGGATTGATTAAAAACTATTATATAATCATCACACAAGCCAATGAAATGGTCCTGTCAGCATCATTGAAAGGTGAAGAGAGAGGGGCTCAGAGAGAAGGCAGGTGACATGCCCAAGATGACTCAGCCGGCAAATTACAGTGTTGGAATTCCTACCGAGATCTGTCCACCTCCAAAACCTGCACTTTCAACCCCACTTCCCTCCACAGACCCACCCTCTCAATGCTTCTTAGCCCTTAGCAGCTGGCGATCCATGCTCAGGGCTGCCAGAGGGTTGTGCATCTGTACAGACACCTTGACTGTCTCAAGGCTGAGCCATGCAGAGGTTCCCCTTTCTGACCATTTTCAACTCCTGCAGAAAGATGCAGCCAGAGTCCCAAGTTCAAAGCACAAGCACCCACAGACCAGGACTCACCCAAACAAAACCCTCCTCTCCTCTTTCTGTCTTTCCTGGAGTTGGGCCGTGGGACTTGTGGCTCCTCATTTTCTGTTTGCAGCACTGACAAATACCTCTCTGTCCTTCTTCAGAGGAGCTCCCCCAGCTGGGAGACTTAGTCGTGACTGAGGTCGGCTGGGATGGCCTCAAACTCAACTGGACAGCCGCTGACCAGGCCTATGAGCACTTTGTCATTCAGGTGCAGGAAGCCAACAAGGTGGAGGCCGCTCAGAACCTCACGGTGCCAGGCAGCCTCCGGGCTATGGACATTCCTGGCCTCAAGGCCAACACCCCTTACAGAGTGTCCATCTATGGGGTGATCCGGGGCTATAGAACACCCGTGCTCTCTGCCGAGGCCTTCACAGGTACCTTTTCCTCCACTGTTCATGTTTTCTCCCCAGGGTTCTCTGCTTCTTCTCCAAGAGATGCAACAGGGACTCGGCTTCTCTCCATAACTGGATCCTTTCCATGTGCCCTTAGCGGCTGGCCATGCATGCTCAGAGACCTCCCTGTGGGCTGCACCTTTGTCTGGAAGCCTTTGCCATGGCTGTGATGAATACTGTGGAGGCTGTCCTTTCCAGCCTCCAGCCCCCGGCCTCTCTCCCATACCTTACCTGGCCAGTCCTACAACTACGTCTCCTTTGCATGATGGCTTTTTGTCTCATGGATTAAACCTGATGCTTTTAACTATCCTCTCCAGTGCTGGAATATCACTAGAAGCCCATCTTTTCCAATGGTGAGGAGTCACATGTTATTTCTTTTAGAGAGTCTTTTTGCCGCTTGACAATGGTGCTTTACCATCTCCAGACCCTCAAGGGTATGGGTCCTGCAGTTCTTGCATTTAAGAAATGTTTCTTTAAAATGCACTGAACAGAATAAGAGAACTGAATTGCCCTCCTCCAGGCCATTCCCTCAGATACTGAGTCATTGTTACAACATCAAATTAGCCAACAGCTAGACCAAAGTGAAAAAAAATAAATCATGCAATTATGACTAGCAACCATACCAAAGAGAAAGCCATTCATTAGCAGAAGTACAGTCAGCAGCATTTGAATTAAGGAATGTCCCAGGCTATGAAAGAGCTGGTACCCTTTCTGCTGTTTGAATCAAGGGTTGCTCCCTGGAGTGCTTGGCCTTTAGAGGGCGAACTCCCACCTCTCTTCACTCTGCTCCAGTTACCAGGCTTCACTGTTTCCCTGGAGGGTGTTAAAGTGAGCGGCCTTCTCACCCACCACCACCGTTTTCCATTGCTCATCTTTACAATGTGCCCCAGTTGGTTTGATGCTCATTGAGGCTGCTCTGCCTTGCTTTGCAAATCACTGTCTCCCTTTTTATATAATTATTGCAACTGAACTTTCACAGCAAGCCTGTACATCCTCATTGATTTGAAAGCATAGATCTGCAATTTAGCCTTAGTCATTTCAGTAACCCTTACTGAGGAACACAGGTGACCACTGCATGGACAGTGACCCAGAAATACCTAGAAATTGTGATGGAGGCTGCCCTGAATTTGCCCGGGACCTTTTAACCTGACATCCACAAATCATTTGTTCCCGGAAGGCAGACAAATCACCCACCATCTGATCTCTCCTGCAGATCATGTGGTTTGGATTCCATTGATGTTTTTATGTGTGTGTTTTGTGTGTGTTTTTCTTTTTAATGACAGTGACATTCTTACCTCTGATGAGCTGGCAGATAGGGAGGAAGGGCCATAATTCCATCTGATCTGTGTTTCAACAGATCGTTGGGTTGGTCTCAGAGACCAGGAGCCTCCTTCCTTGCTAAACAGCACCAACTTTTCAAAGTTGCTCCTGCTCCTGCCTGCCCTATGTGCGTTTATTCCTGTTGCAGGACCATCTCCAGGACAAAATATTATTTCCTGGCTAAAAAGAGTTACCGAAACTGCCTTGTCTTGGCTTCACACTCTTGGCTTGCGATACAGTGCTAGTCCTCTTGGCGCACACAGAAGCGATTAAGAGAGTGGACCAGCTATTTTACCAGAATGTGAGAACAGCTGGCTGGCCCTTATCTGAAGGATGAAAATATATATATCGAGAATTACACTGAGAAATTTGCCAGTCCCTCCAAGTCACAAAAACAGAAGCCTCCAGGTGCCACCGCGGGAGGCTGATGTGTCAGAATGACTTAACCTTCATTTGAATAGATGGGAGCACCCTCAAAGCAAAGCAAAGGATGTCTGGGGAGGCATCCAAGTCATCTTGGTCTCCTGAGTGTAGTTCAAGAGACAGGAAGCTATCAGCACTTCTGTATTTTGAGCCATGGCCACCAGCCCTGGAGCGGCACTCTTGGAGACAGGTGCAGCTGACATACAGCTGCCTCACTGAGGTCATCCAGCTCCTCTCTCTCCAGAGATCTCACAGGGCCTGATCATGCATGGCAAGTGCAGAGAAGGGAAATCTCATCTCCATGCCTTCCTTTCTTAACCTGTAACAAAGTCCCTCCTTCTCTCATTGGCACTGAACGGTCACCGCAGCTTCATTTCACCATAACCCCTAACTGTGGAATCTCTCTCCCCAGCGATGGTTTATTAACAACTTCCATCTTAAAACACAGAGGAATAATTGACTCCGATTTATTTGTTCCTTCTCTCCTACCCTCCCCCACCCCTTTTTTTTTTCAGCCAAAGAACCTGAAATGGGAAACTTAAATGTTTCTGACATAACTCCTCAGAGCTTCAACCTCTCCTGGACAGCTACTGACGGGGCCTTCGAGATCTTTACCATTGAAATTATTGATTCTAATAGGTTGCTGCAAACTGCGGAATATAATATATCCGGGGCTCAACGAACCGCCCACATCTCAGGGCTCCCCCCTAATACTGATTTCATTGTCTACCTCTCTGGACTTGCTCCCAGCATTCGGACCCAAACCATCAGCACCACAGCCTCCACAGGTACATGTGCGTCCCCCCCGGGTCCTCGGGCTTCTGTGCAGGGTGCAGCCACTCCTGCTCACCCATCAGAGCACATGCCGGCGGGCTCGCTCTTTCGTAACGTGAGGTTGGAGTGACGTTTCACCTAACTCTCTTCCAACAGAAGTCCGAATCGTGGGTTGCCGTAAAGCCGTGTGCCTGGTTACCCTTGATCAGGACACTTGTTTGCGGCACACAACGTAGTTTGGTCCAGATTGCCATGTAGAATCTGGAGAAAAGAATTCTCTCCTTTGGTAACTTAAAAGCTATCATGAGAGTTGCCCTTGGCTTGGAAAGATGTCGACATCATCAATGAATTCTTCAGAATTGGATTTTTATGTTATCTCGAGGGCCTTTGTCTTCCTACAGTCCTAAATTTTTTTTTTCTTACCCAGATATCCCAGTGAGTTAAGGAAACCGTTGATAGTTTTTTTGTCTTAAATTGGGAAAATGAAGAGAAAGAGCATAGATGACTTATCAGGTGAATGCAGGAGACAGCCATGCCATCCGATTACCCCAATTTCAATACCACTTCCAGGGGGAAAAGTCAGATCATGCTTTCTTGCTCCCAAAACAGTGAATAGTACGTGACACAAATAAAAGTAGAATGGCCATCTTCAAACAGGAGGCTTAGTTTAAAGAGGAGTAAACTGCTGTCACTTTGGATTTGTGGTATCTGTGACATGTGTGCCCTATGCCACATGTTCTGCTGTTCAGTAATAGAGAATCCTATGGGGATTTAGAAAGGAGAGCTTTGTCCATTCAAGATAGCACTCTTAGCATATTTCAGATGATGCATTCTCTTCATAGGTAAGCTAAGACGTCCCAAAGTAAAAACAAAAATGATATTTAGAGAACAAACTCTGGAAACTTTTTCCTTGTAGCTCATAAATTAAGGGTCTATTTTCTGGGGAAATCCAAGCATTGTAGCATCAATAATTATCTGTCACTTGAGTGACCCCTGGTTGAGGGAGGGTCTGTCCTCATTCTGCATGAGACTTCAAATGGTTTCAGGGTGGTCAAGGCAAGGAGCCAGCACTGTCTAGTTCCCGGCTCAGCCAGATTATAATCTAACAAATCCTAGGGGAGAAAATTAGTCAACCATATGAATTTGGTTCAAATTGATTTTCAACAAGACAAGTCACTTTCCTGGAAGATAGAGTCTAAACGTTATGGGTTTAGCCTCATGTGTTTTGATCTTGAACTACGATAGTGTTTTAAATTGATATGCTTTCGTATTTTTTTCTTCTTGCTTTAGTAGCCAAATCTCTCCTTAGCCATCTCACTGTCTCCATGTGACCTGGGGCAGTGTGTCCATCTTGCGGAAAGCTCAGGAGCCAGGCTTTGATAGCCTTCTTGTAGAAGTTAGTAATTCTGACCATCCCCAGGAAACAGTGGTGCGCTCTGTGCCCAGGGCATCCCAATGCTCGGTCATCACCAACCTCAAAGCTGCTTCTAATTACACAGCCCACCTTCATGGGCTGATTGGTGGGCAGTGTGCTCAGATCCAGATGGTCCAGGCAACCACAGGTATTTCCCATTGTGGGTTCTTCACTTGCCATTGAACTTCCTCTGAATCACATCCCAAATGTCAACCCACTTCTCATCCTCCTAGTTCCATGAGTTCTTTTTCAAGTTTAATAGAGCCAACCAAGTCACAGTTTGAAAGCTTTAAAATAGCACTCACCCCAAATTAAGGAACTTCAGCATCTGACCTCTTTCCCCTAAAAGTGCACTTGCTCCCCGCCGCCACACTAGTCTGTCTGTCTGTGTGTATGGAGTTAATGTGACTTGCTCTGTTTGAATTTCTAAACCATCCTTTCATCCGATCTTGAATAATCCTTTCCTTTGCCACCCATCATCATCTGCCTGTGGTCTGTCTAATCAAAGTTTGCCTGTGTCGTATGCAAAGAAACGGTGTGCATGTCATTTTTGATTCCTTGATCAGAATGATCTACAGTCTCTGTCTAGCAGAATTTTAAATAATGGTGCTACTAGTGGGCTAAGGAGAGAGACTAAGTCACAATTCAAGAACCACCGTGAGAGGACCTAGTGGTCTCTTCTTGTTCTGGAGATTTTCCTTTGCCTGGATTCCCAACAGAGTGCTCTTTTTGGCATTTATTCTGGCAAGCATGTGTTGTCACCCATTCATGTCTGTTCTGAAATGAAAGAGTCCTCCATCTTGTCTAAGTCTTGGTGCATGTGGTGAATATTCAGTGCATTTTTTTGGAACAGGTCTCTTTTCCTGCAAGTCGACAGCATGTCAAAGAATGACTCCAAAGGGTTAGAAATGGTGGGAGAAAAATGCCCCTTGCTTGCATGAAACACTGACCACACCTGAAGTAGCCTTCTCTGTCTGAGTTTTTCCTCGACTCTTACATTTGAGCTTAATTGTACCTTCTGGGGATCAGATGAAGGTAAAACTAACTTTAAGAACCCAAATCTTATTCTGTATGATGAATATATTAGTACTGCCAGTTTTTGTCTGTGAGCATGAGAATAATCTCAAAATGCATCCTTAATTTGGGATATTGCTTCTATAGCAAAATATAGGAAAAAGAAACAGAGCTTGGAGATTTTATCTTTT